GAGGTGGTTGAGTCACCATCCCTGGAGGTGTTCAAGAAACGTGTAGATATGGTGCTTAGGAACATGGTTTAGGGAGTTAGGTGGTGTTGGGTTGGACTTGAGGTCTTTTCCAACCTTAATGATTCTATGATTCTAAGCTTCTTTTACAACATTTTGTGATCTTCAATTTGGATTGGTTTTAAATGTTAAGAAAATAAAAAATAAAATACTAAATTTTTTTTGCTCAGCTACCACTGGATGAATATGCATTTTAAATTAACAATTTTTCATTACTTGTTAATTTTACTGGGGAGATGGTTATTGATATTTCAGATTATCAAATTACCATGAATTAATTGATCCTGATGGAAGTAATAGAACTGAATTATGAAAGATGTTTGTTTGTAATTTGCTTGAGCCAAAACTGTAAGGGTGAAATGCTTTGATGTAATGAAAAGACATGCACTGAGTACCTTCCATTAGAATTAAAGTATTAATAATAATACATTAATAATTTTTTAAAATAGTGTTTATGTTAATGAAGGAAAATCTGCTAAATAATGTTGTTTGTATTCTAGTTTTTTAACCAGGTTCTGGTACTGGGAAAGTCTTCAGTAAGTGACTTGTCAGAACATGTGTTTGACTTGATACAAGAGCTTTTTGCCATAGATCCTCACTTACTGCTGTCTGTCATGCCACAGCTTGAATTCAAGCTGAAGGTAGGTTACAGTGTAGCTTTGGACAGGTAATAAAATTTGTGTGGATATTAAGAGTGCAGAGCTGTATATTTAATAAGTGTTCTACTGGAGGGATAAAAATTTTATATTTATGACTTTATTTTAATGATAAATGTAATATTAGAGGAAGGACACTGGGAAGTTGTGTACAATTGTGTGTTTTCTATGCCTGCAAATGTGTATTATGTGTACAAAATATATAATCATTATAACGGTAAATTCATATGATCTAATGCAAAAGTTATATGTACTTAACCGTTGGATTTCACCTGAAATTTATAAATTAGACTGGTTGTCTTATCTTACGAAATGCAAGTGTGTTAGCTTCAGTGTTGATTTGCAAAATTTTCTTTTGTGAAATAATGTTTTAATAATAGAGGAAGTATTTCCAAATATTTTCTCAACTTTGTCATAATCAGCTAACAGGTCAGCTGACTTCTTTTGGATCTTTGGAAATAGTTAATTTATCCTGATTTGGGGCTTCGGGGTTTTTTAATTAAAAAGCTGTTTATCTTTTTAAGATTGACAAGAGAAATAATTTTACATGTATGCATGAATGTGTAGGGCATGGTGGCAACAAACAAAAATAACCAAGAAATAGGTATTTGGTGAAATTACATCTCTCTCTTATTGATGTAAATCTATTTATAACATCTTAGTTGGTGTCTTTTCCACTCATAAAATAGTCTTAAAGTATATTTTAAAACAAAAATAAGATCGTTCATTGTTGAAATCATTAGGGATATATATTATTCAAACTACTGCATGTGGGCTTTTATTTCTAAAAGAGAAGGAACTTTCAAAGTATAGCCATTTATTAAATGGCTGTAGTATGTTACCATAATAGGAGTTTATATATTTTTAATCTCGTTGATCTAATTAGGGAGACTGAGAGTTATCAGAAATAATTTCAAATTCACTCTTTAATCTGACTTATAAAAGCAGAAGGGAAAGGAAGCCAGCAATTATTATTAAGATATTACAGATAATGACTTGTTTCTTTTTCATGTTTTGCTTTTTAGAGCAATGATGGAGAAGAACGTTTGGCTGTTGTTCGACTTCTGGCTAAACTCTTTGGCTCCAAAGATTCTGATCTGGCCACACAAAATCGTCCTCTCTGGCAGTGCTTTCTTGGGCGGTAAGAGAAATGGCGACAGAATTCTTAATTTCTATTCTTTTTGTTCTGAATTTTCTGATAGTATTGCATTTCTCATTGTGTTTTTAGAGGATGTAATTGTTGGTATTTGAACAAGTTCTTTTGTTGAATCTTTGAAGCAGAGAATTGCGTACAATAAAATTTCAGAATGAAGAAGCCTGAAGGACTCCTGCTATATTGCTGTCAGCTATAGGAATATAGGTTAGATAGATAGCACATTACATACATAGCAGAAATTACACAATGGATGTGCCAGCATTGTTTGAAATGTCATACTGTTCAGCTATATCTGCAACTATATCTGGTTGATTTACCATTTACCTTTTTGAGCGAAGAAATATTTCCTTTTAAGTAAATATAGAAATCTATAACTTTTTAAAAAGTGCATGTTTCAAATTGTATATGTTATATGGAGTTTTATATTTTTATAATTTCGCATACATATATACAGACACGCACTCACATGACTGACAGTGTATGGAGAATTATGTTAAAAAGTCAGTGCGCAAAATCCATTGGGTCACCATTTCATCCATAGGTAGCGTTTTCATCCTTTAATTTTAGTCCTGACTTAATTTCACAAGAAAGAACATAAAAATTTGTACGAGGTACATTATGGAGATAAAAACATTTCTGTTGTATTATTTTGCTGTATGAAAGTATTCTAATAGTTAATGGAACATAGTATCAACACATGTTACTACATAGAGAATAATCTTTATTTGCAAGGCTAATTAAAAATTAACATTGATCATCTTCTTTCCCTCTAGGTTCAATGATATCCATGTCCCTGTGAGATTAGAGAGTGTGAAATTCGCCAGTCATTGTTTAATGAACCATCCAGACTTAGCAAAAGACCTCACTGGTGAGATGCTCGTACAGGGGTTTAGAATAATTTAAGAAATGAGCAAGGAAGAATGTAATTATTTCTGTATGTAGCAGTATAGTTCTAAAATGTAGCAAGTCCAATGCTTGATGCTATATGGAAGAGCTAACTACTGAGTAATTGCTTTCAGCTGAAGCAAGCAATAGCTGTTAGAAAGAGAGGAGTGTGTGACATTGTCAGAATGAGTCTTTAAGAAGCTACCCAATGCAGAATGAGTTTTAAAGCAATTTCAGATTCTAATGAAACTTTTAGTGAGTCAAAGCAGATATTTGTGCAACATCATGATTTATCTTAAAAAACAGTCAGTGTGTTCCCAAGTACTCTTACACTGAGTTTAGAAAATGCTGTTGTGCTGATCTAAACTATGAAGTTTCTTCTTTCACTTCAGCATTAACTATGAGCAGAAGTTCAGGCTTAACTGAAAATAGTGTTCTTTTTTGATGCAAGCTAACCTACAGCAATTGTGTCAGTAGTTTTCATTTGTTATTTACCTTCTTAGCTCTTCGGAAAAGAGTCTCTGCTCTTTTTATTTCTTCTCACCCCTCCTCACCTCTTTATTTTCGATATCTTCTAATCAGCTTTTTTACACTTGATTGTTTGTTGCAAATGAGGTTGTTGTAAAAGCTATTCACTTTTATATTCTTCTGATATTTACAGTTTTATATAATTGTTTCATGTTTAACATAGAAAAAATTATGGAACAGATGTTTCCTGTAGGCAGCTATATGTTTGCTAGATTAAATGGTTGTGATACGTGACTGACACTTAATTGTTTTAACATTATTAATAAATTAGAATACATAATATCTGCATAAAAAAGTCAAGCTTTTCATTGTTTTTGATCATAACAGAATATTTGAAGGTTAGATCACATGATCCAGAAGAAGCCATTCGACATGATGTTATTGTTACAATTATTACTGCAGGCAAGAGAGATCTTTCTTTAGTCAATGACCAGCTGCTTGGCTTTGTAAGGGAAAGAACGCTAGATAAACGGGTAAGTGTTAATATTTTATTTTCAGGAATATCTGCTTCTAATATAGTTTGGCAAAATTAAAATCAAAAAAACAAAGCCTCTGTTTAGTTGACTATCAACTAGAATGCTGTGGGCAAAAAATAATTTTCTTACCAGAACATCTTAATGTAGATTCCATGTTATGGAGGCACCAATGAAGTGTTGTCAAGCAAATAAGATCATTGACTTGTGAGGAACACAATCATATTATAAGAACACAAGAATTGCCACATGTGTTTAGACCAAAGATCCCTATGGTCCAGTTTAATTCTTACAGTAGTCAGTTTTGGCTCCCAGCAATTTGTGATTTAAGGATTTCTTAAATCTACTTGATCATGTTCGTCATAGCTTTCGATGGAACTTTATTCCATGAATTTATCAAGTTCTTTCTTGAACTTATTTGTACTTGATAAGCATCCATGGCATTTGCATCAGTAAATTCAAGTTTAGTGCATGTATGGAAAAAAGTAAGTTAACTTGTTTTTTAAAGTTGTCTGATAAATTTACTGGGTATCTCATAGTTCTTGCATTATGTAAAATAATCAATATTATTTGACCTACTTATGATTAATAAATATGTATACCATATCTTCTCCACTCCTCTACTTTCCAAGCTACAGAATCACCTGATTAACTTCCACATAAATTGGTTATTGCATACTTCAGATCCTTCTTGTCTGGTTGTTCCATATTCTAATGGAACCAAGGTGACCAGACTCGGCCATGGCCTTCAAGGTGTGCACTGTGTTATATGCATACTTTATGATAATTTTTTATTTCTTATTCTTTAACATTCTGTTTGTCTTTTATGCTCCTTCTGAGCACTCAGCTGACAATTCTGGAAAACATCCATGTTGACTTCAGTATCTTTCCTGAATAATTTTAGATGATACATTGCTTCGTGCTATATATGCAGAGTTAATGTAGATGGGAAATCCTGGCCTTAATCTGAATTTCTTTCACTTCATATTGTAACAATTCAGTAGGATGACATTTTTCTTCAGTTCTTCGTTATAATGTTAGATCTGACTACCTCAGGAAATTTTATATACACTCTTCAGTTAATTTTCTAGTAATTTGGTTAATGTGTTAAGTGTCATAGATTCCCTTCTGACTCCATCAGTAGGTTCCCTTCATTCCCTTCATTGTAATAACCAGTCATTTATTTCCACTCATTGTCTCCTATGTTTTAGTTAATAATAAATTCACAACAGGATTTTTATTTTAAGATCCTTTGGTGTGAGACTTTGTTTCAAGTTTTTTGGGGATACCGGTGCATTTTACTGATATACTTGTGGGTCTACTAATATTCATTTTTTCTTAGACAAAACTTTCTGTTACGTAAATTGTAATAACTCATTCCTGTAGCTTAATTTTTCAGCAGTGTCTGTTCTTTGTTGTTGTTACTGTTTTGTTTCAACCTGTTTACCCATTCAAAATCAGATGTTCTGGTGAGTGGCACTCTGTTCTTCTTGCGACCCTTTGGTTTCTTTCACATTTGCTGTGTTTGCCCTGTTCATTGACAGATTGCAATGACAGAATCGTTAGTATTTGGTGTATAATTTCTAAATTCCTGTAGAAGTCATGGATGTGATACCACCTAGTCTTAATGATTTTGTTACTGTTCGTTTTATTAATTTGTTTTAAAACTACTTCTAATGACACTTCAAGGAACCTCTTCAGACCTCTCTCCTGGAATAAATCTTGTTTGTCTTTCAGACCTACAAAAGAGTCTGGAAGGCTTCCTGCTTCTGGAGGCTTTGGTGAAGGTGTTAAATTAGTATGTTCTTAATAATTCGGGTCTGAAACTTTTGCCATGCTTCATCAAGGATTTCCCTTTAGGTTGCCAGAGCTTATACTTTTTCCTCTTTACACTCTTTTGAATGTGGCTCCATGCTCTTTGGAGGATGATATTTTAATAGGAGACTTCACTGTGCTGTGTAGCCATGCTGGTTTTTTTTCTGTTCCTTTTTGATGGAGGCATCCTTTTAACAACCTGTGTCATTCTAGCTAGTTAATTTAATGATTTTAAAATAATTTTATCTTTTTTATGTTCCCCTTTTTAAATGAGAATGTTACTGTAATGGATTTTGAGAAAAGGCTGTTATCTTTGCACAGAGAAGTACTGATTTTGAGTATGTTCACTATTACAAAGCAGCTCTTGACTTAGTTGTATCTGCAGCTTGTATCTTGCACGCTTCTCAGGAGTGATTAAGACCACCGTCCTTCCTTCTTTTTCAGCCATTAAACAAACATGCCCAAAAAGTAATTTATGAGATCTAAAAACTTTTAGTGTAACCACCACTTTCCACTGGGACTTCCACATAGTCAGAATGGGATGATTGTTACTGTGTCTTCTACATAGTGTCTCTGTTCTCCTTTCGCACGTCGCCATCAGTAAGAGGCAGTCAGTCATACAGCTGTAATGCTCATTTCTGCGGAGCTAGGGGTTTTCAGTTCATATAGCCTGAAACTTGGTGTGGTACTTCTTAGTATTTCTAATATGTTTGACTCAGTGATTTCACCTCATTCATAGGTTTGATGATATATTTCAAGGTTAGGTGCCTTTTCAGGCATTCATCAGTGAAGAATACCTTCACCTCTAGATGATGTTTCTTTTATAAAAATGTCTACAGAGAGCTTTAATGAAAATATATTCTGAGGAGAAATGAAAACTAAGGATTGACTTGAAGTGACTACAACAGATACGTAGCATTTGAAGTAGACCTTAACAATATAGCATGTCTTTGTAAATATAATTAGTATTATATAGTGAATATCAAGGACTTGTAAGCTTTCAGCTTTTTTGATTTTTTTAATAGGATTTTTCTCCGGTTTGGGAGAGGGACATTGATATGTCTGTGTAACTGTCTTTATATTTTCTGTGTAGGATTTTTTCAGTTCCAGACATAGTGCGTTATACCTATTTTAGTTATTCTTTTGCTTTACAGCACTCAGTTATCTTCTGCTGACTGCATTTATGCCTTGTAGGCAGGTTTCTGTTGGACAAATCTATTGCAAACTCCTAAGTGATCACTCATCAATTTGATTTCATCTAATTCTTTTTAGCCCTGCAATCATCTATCAAATAAGTATAGATATTATTATAAAAAGAACACTTGTCCAACAGTCTGAAGTAAAATGATGATTTTTTTTTTTCTTTTAAACACACTAACCTGTCGTTTCAGTTCTGCCTTTTTTCTTTATAAAGCAACATGGAATCTAGAAAACTTTAAATTTAAATCATCCTAACTGTTATGCCATTTATGTGATCTGTTTTTGCTCCTGAACATATTCTAGTTGGCACAGTATTAGTAAAGATAGCCTAATGTAAAAGTTTTTGGCTAAAAGGCAGTATTTATTTAAAAAAAAAAAAAAATCCTTAGCTAACTTGATCTGTATGGGCATTTGCACAATGATTACAGCTATTAAAAAACAACAACAAAAGCAAACAACAACAACAAAACCCACACAAACCCTACCACCACCTGTGGTTTTCAAATCCATTTTTATTGGTCCAGTTGCAAGAGTAACTCTGGGAACAGATGCTTCCCAAAAACTGCAATCCAGTCTTTGGTAAGAATTGTTCTGAGGAATTTTCCATTGGAGCACTATCTCTAGGGTCTTTCTAGTGTCTTCACTGTTCTGAATCATGAGTTCCAGGAGCCATTAAAAAAATTTATATTTTTATATATATATATGTATATAAGCTTCTGAACATGGTTCAGGTATTTTTTCTTTAAACTGGAGTAACCTTAAGAACCTGAAAAGGAGAGCTGACTTCTGTTCCCATTTCTCCCAATAGCCTTTGTGTTCTAGAGACATTAGTTCCTTCATGAGAACAGACTTTCACATCATCAGCTTGAAGTCAAAAGCTGTAGAATGAGGAACAGATTCCCATTTTCTATTACTTACACGTTCTTCTGCATGTGTTAGTTCTAACTCCTCTGTGTGTACTAAAAAACTACTGTGGCTTTTTCCAGATGAAAGAGAAAGATTTTAAGATTTTAATATTCTTAACCCTATGGAAGGAATAGGTTAACTGTTCCAAGAGGTAAGGGATTATCTTGAACTTTCAAGAACAGGTTTTTTAAACTCAGCCTATCAGTCTTCAGTGAAGGAGTTTATGCTGGTTAAGCAAGGAAGTAAGACTGTCAAAATTTTTCTGTTAATTGAATCAGGGTAGTAATTCTGCTAGATGTGTTTATTGATCTGTTCCCTTTGAAATTGATTATTATGTTTCCCTTTTATTTTCGTTTGTCTTCATCTTTTACCTTACTGTGTGCTGTTTGAGCTTTAATTCTCAGTAATACCTTACTCTTTTTTTTTCTACCTGTGTCTCCCGTTCAGTGACTTGCTTCTGTGGTGTCTCAAAGCATTCTCTAAGGGATTCTGTCCAGTGCCTCCCATCTTCTGCCTGAAACTGCCTCTCTGCATGCTCTGACTTTTACCCTCTACAGCAATTTCAGTGATAAGAAGTCTGTTGACAATCCAAACCTCCTTACCGTATACCCCCTTACCTCATACCTGCTTTCATTTTAGGCTTAAATTTTCTAGTATAATTTCTTGTCGTCCTTCTCCATTGTCTTTTGACAATAGTTTTGCCATCCTTCCTGTCTCATATAGGAGATCTGATAGAGCTGTCTCCACTTGCATTGATTGGAAGGATATAGCTGAATGCAGAAAAAATAGTAATACTTTTCTGAAAATGTTTCCGCTTTAGACTTTCTTTAAAATGTGCTTTAGATCGCAATAGGCATGAAAAAATTCCTGCAGAGAAGTTAAACAGTAACATCTATTTATATCTAAATTTTTTCTTTAGTGAAAGCAAAGTATTTTATTGTATACTGTCAAAGTCATTGCTATCTTGATCTGTTGCTTGTTTTTAATATTTAAGAAATATGTTACATAATACAATTTTATTTTTTCCATCTTCTTCTTGATAGAACTTACTCCAACAGCTAGTGGTATCTAAGGCTGTTGTGCTGACATAAGCTGTATTATCTTCAAAATTTTTTCTTTTCTTTGCCCTTCAAGGAAAGGAAGTCACTCAGTAAAACTATTAAGATGTGCAGTATCTCACTTAATGTTATTAAAGCAAGCCCTCAGTTTAACAAGATAGAAGAAGTTGTTCACAGTGTGAATGATAGTGTCTACATTTATGCTTGATAGGGTGAAATGATTTGAGTATTGTTAGTCCTTGGATTTCAAGGCCAAAATTGCTGTCTAGTGTGTTCTGGAAGAAATTGTCTCTTTCAGTTTTAATTTCGTGCATTTCTTTTAAATGATGAAGGAAAACACATTTCTTTTAAGACTTTCTGTGTAAATCATTCAGTAGGAGACACATTCTCTCTGTCCGTTCTGGTAGGATTCCTTAGGAGAGCTTATTGTCTGTTAAAGTGTTTAATAATGGGACACTTCCTGTTTACATGAGGGGATAAAGTAGTGACCACCAAAAGCAAGGATGACAACCCAGGAACTCCATCTGTGGATGTTGTAGACTGTTTTTTTTTTCCTGGATCCCTGGAGTCTTACAATGATTACTTCAAGGCTTCAGCAAAAAGGGCCTCTCCCATTGTCCTGGAAAGTAGCCTGAGAGTTCAAGCCCTAGCAGGTTTGGCTAGGCCTAAGCTCTGGATGTCCCATTTCTAGACAAGTGTGCTATAGGACAGTGTAAGGCTATGGGGAGAAAGAAGGCTGACACATCTGATTGGTGCCTGTTTCTGAATAAATAGGTGTCCCAAATCCTGTCTCAGAAAGGTACTTATTCAGGCATACATTTTAAGCTGTATGACCAGCTCCCAGATTTTCTTTGCTCAGCACAGAGGAATACTGGATTTCTCTGTACAGGCAATATTTAATCTACATAGTACAATGAAGAAAACCCTTATGTAGGCATTACAAATTCTCATTTAGAGGCTGTTTTTCAGCTTTTGAAGTGTCTAAAGGTAGGGGTTCAGAATGTGACCATTCTGTCTTTCACACTTCTACATCTTTACTGTATTTTGTATATGTTTGATATTTATTTACTAAAACCACTTCCCCACCTCCTTTTCATTTCTTCCCCCTCAAGTGGCGAGTAAGAAAAGAAGCTATGATGGGTCTTGCTCAGCTATACAAGAAGTATTGTCTCCATGCCGAGGCTGGAAAAGATGCTGCAGAGAAAGTGAGCTGGATAAAGGATAAACTTTTGCACATATATTATCAAAATAGCATTGATGACAAGTGAGTCAACCTAAGCCTTCCTAATTTTAATTGTATAGTGATAAGAGATACTCTGAAAATACGCGCTTGTCCTGAGAAAGCTGTGGGTATCACATTCTGTATTTGGTTTTACGTACGATATATTTAATCAATGATCACTAAGACATGTACTAAGATATTCAGGATGGTTACATTATCTGTTCATGTATTCATTCTATTTACTGATGGAACTAGATCTGTGATGATAATAGATTGTAATTGACTAACCACTGCATAGAAAAAAAAAAATCAAATTCTGTATTTACTATACCCAGTTCTTTTTTGCCTTACTTCTTGCCAGAGGCTAGCATGTTAAAATCCATAATCTGTGAGCATTATGCATGTATGCACCACAGTGTATGCACAGACATCTCCTTTTGGTATGACTTGTAGAAATGGACCCTTTAGGTAGAAAATAAGCTGAAGAAGCACCAGGGGTGCTTCCACTGTTGTCTAGTCCTCCCTGTTTTGTCACTCAGTCCCTTCAATTTTTGAAATACCATTTTGACTTGACCAAAATACTTTTCTGTAAGGTTTTGGAAGATAGTTTTCAACTTTCACCATTAATTCTGTGTCTTTCACGAGAAAACCCAAACTCTGGGACCACACAACGACAGACTTTCAGCCTAGATTTTTTTAATACACCAGACTCGGAAATCAGCCGTTTCTTTATAGTGTTTTCTTAGTATCTTGCTTATACAGTCTGCTACCTCAGTATGTTTTGTGATCTTAGTGACTAGGCTAAATGGACTATTATTAGCCTTCTTTGGTTGCCAGTTATGATAGTGAATTCTTACCACTGCAGCAGTGAAGGCTCTTACTTTGTTCATCTGGCTGATCATAAGTGGGCCAGAGTTACATATTTGATTAGTTGCCTTATTTTTTTAAAAAAAGAAGAAAGATATGGTTATGAGATTGTATTTACAGAAATTACACTGAAAGTCGTCTGAGGCAGATGTATCAATTAGTGACAAATTAGGAAATCTCCACATAGTTTATACAAAGATAATTATGCATATGTATATGCATCAAATATGCTTTAATTCGTATTGGGATGTTGGTTTGTTTTTTCTAGCATATTCGTGTCTGACTGTCAGTACGCAGGTTTGATAGTGAGCAGGGAATGAATCGAAGTTCCACAGTGAATGGGGAAGATGTTTCCAATATTCCTGCTCACAGAAGATGCAGAACATTGTCAGGGAATCAAAGCACGGAATTTTAGGGAAAG